TCTCTCTCTCTCTGTGTGTGTGATATCCCGACTTTGAGAGACAGGATTTTTTCTGTTTTTGTTTGTTTAGTTCTTGTGTTTTTCATTGTAAACATGCTTTCAAATGAGAGAGGTATCTTGCACTTTCTGCCCCGAGCCTGGTCCCGATGGGGGGGCAGCTGGGCACCTGGCCTGCTGCTGTGTAACCAATCAGCTGCTTAGTGCCTGCCTCACAGAACAAGGCCCAATGGCTTTTTGTTTTATGTCTTTGTGTGTATGAGGGGGGGTTTCTTGCCCTGTCAGGGTCTCTGTATGTTGTTTTTGTTGTATTATAAGTCAGAAAATCACCACCATGTCATCAACAGCTTTTGTCTGGATTGGGTCACGAGTAAATTAAAAACAGGAAAATATTTAAATTTCTACAAAAGTTTAAAACAACCCAGATTTTTCTTAGAGATCGAAAAGGCAAAGTGACGTAAGGAGACCTCGTCTTCTCCATCTCCTTCCACTGTGTAAACTCAAATGTCTTCTTCTACATTTCACTTTCTCTCTCTTTACCCTATACATCAGATTTCTCCCCCCTGCCCTCCCCAACAGTACTGCTTATTCCTCCCTCTCTCCCCCTCGACTACGTGGAAAATGAGCTCGTTTCCTGGGCCATTTTCTTTGTTAAAAGCCATTAATTAGGCTAATTGAGGAGAGAGACAGGACACTCCAATGACTCCTCTGTTTAATGAGGGACGAGAAGAAGACCCGGGGGGAGGGGGGAGGCGAGTGAAGGAGGGAGGAATGGACGGAGGGTATAGGGATGGGTAGAGGAGGGGACAAAGGGAGGATGGAGGAGGGGAGGGATACAGGGATGGGACAGGATGTTTGGAGCAGCGTTGTGGGGGGGTAATGGGAGAGAGAAATAGAGGAAGAGCTGGAAGCGGGATGCGGGGATGGTGGGTGGGACGCTCGGAGGGGAGGATAAAGGAGGAAAAAGAGATGGACAAGCTGGAGGGGGGATGGAAGGATGGGCATCAGTGGGAGGAATGGGGGGAGGGATGAGGGAGGGATGGGAGTGTGGACGAGGGAGAAAGATGGGGAGGGGGCCCTTAAGGGTGCCAGTAGTTGCAGAACATATATATATAATGGGGGGTGGCAGGGTTGGCAGAGGAGACGATGGGGGAGAATGTAAAATGGATGTCGTCTTTTCGCTGGAAGGGTAAAAAAAACGTCCAAACTGCAACACTCTGACATATTTGTTGAATGACTGCACGGCATCATCACGTCACACCGCTGCACATTTCACATCCCTGTTATTCTTAAGCAAAATAATTATAAAAAGGGAAAGGAGAGAAGCAGAGCGACTGTCACTTAGAGAGAGCTCTTCAAAGTCTGTCTTAAAACAATACTCAGAGGCCATTTGTACATTGGAGCAGCTGTCATTCCTCCTCTCCATACTGGCTTTGAAGATATCCTTTCCTAACATATTTGTCATCAGTGCTCACTCTGTCCAAAAATACATTATAAAAGTTCAGCTAATGTAATGTACAGCTTCAGCAGTCTGAGTGAGCCAAATCAAGGATGTCACTTTGTGTTTCTCTGGAAAGTGTTGCTGAGCTGAGCTGCAGCAGACAGAAACAAAAAGGGAATTTTGTATGAAGAAGATGCTCAGTGATCAGATCACTAGAAGATAGTGGCCGTGGTAATTCTGCCCAGAATTAGGACTGTAGATTTGGTCACCAACTCTTTAGTTGAAATCCTGTTCGGATGGGATCACTCCAAAGGCAGAATGGACAGGACAAAGAACTGCAGCTGTTTCAAATCTTGACAATGTTAATATTTAACAATGTTACAGGAGTGCAATGCTAAATAAGTGCAGTACTGTTATAAGTATTGTTTGGCTTCTTTAGGTTGTGGGATCATAAATGTAATATTTTAAAGCAACAGCTCTGAAGCAGCTCTGCCACTATTTACACATCCAAACAGCCTCCTTTACATTTCCCTGTTTACATTAAATTGGCTTCTGAATGATGTTGTGCCATTTCCTGTGAAAGACGCAAAAACCGGGAAGCTAAACATCTAAAACCATTGCGACCATTAACTTTATTTTCAATTGTCTGCTTCTTCAGATTCTTCGGAGGCTTCACAGATGTTTGGTTAGCTCGTCCACAGGCTGCTCATCAAGATGAGTGACAGCCATGCTGGCAGCGACTTGACCAAATGGACACGAGGAAGGCGGGGCGAACAAAACGCCTTTTATCTCAAGGAGGAACCGCATATTTCTGCTTTAGATACAGATACAGAATATGTTTATTCTATATTTATATATCTTTCTGCATTTCTCATTTAAAAGTACACCTTCACAGGAATACAAATCTGGCTAAAACAATCAATATTTAAAGTGTAAAACTTTAACAATTGAAATTGACCGTTTGTTTAAAGAAAGATTACGGCACCAATCCAAATTAATATCAATAATTCCTTCAAAACCTTCCATCATTAAGAACAACTGGGGGAAAACCTTCCTCTGATTGGATTTTCATCTGCCAGATTTCATTTTTGCCAAGAGCGGAGGGAGAAATGCAAAGGGAAGGATGAAAAAAAAGCGAGCGGGACTCTAATTAAAAGACACTGTGGAGGAAGAAGCCGAATAAGAGAGAGTGATGACAAAGAGAAGGAGCAGAAGGCAGAGGAAGAGTGAGGGACAGGGAGGATTCCTTTGAACCTTCATGTTTTAATGGAGAGGCAAAGACAGAAAAACAACGGGGCAAGAGGAGGTTTTATATCTTTCATTGCCAGTGTTGGACTTAAATTTTTAAATTTAATTAAACTGAAGTAAAATGAAGAGAGAAGAAAAGAGAATAACCAGTGAAGATACTGACTAAATTTAGCTAATCAACTTTCATCTGCTCCTGTCTACTTTGATAATGTGATCTTACAATGATGGAGCTTAATTTTCCTCATTAATGAAATTAAAGGCTTAACTGAAAGAGCACTGTAAAGCAGGCGACACATTCTGAGGTACTGAAAAGAAAAATCACAATTAACACCTTTTCATTCTTTTACAGTGAGCTAAGATATATAAACCAACAACACAGTGTCTGCTTTACTTTTATAGACAAGGTCTGAGGTGATGGATGAAAAAAGAACAGTACGCATTTACAGCATACATTTAAAAAAAAAAAAGGACTGATGAAATGGTTTTATCTGCTATTAAAGAACTCTGCTGCCACAGGCCCCTGAAGGAGAGTGCAAAATACTCAAAGTACTCCACTAATTTACCATTGTACTCCCTCATTAGCTTTATCGTTTTAAGAAAGAAGAAAATTGATGCAGAAGAGGGATCATCTCTTTTATTCCATACATTCTTCTTTCTTGTCAAAACCTGGTGCCTGCATTACCCACAATGCAACTCAACCACCGACCGTTATGTCAGAGATTCTAGTGTGTTAAGCTAGTTGCAACTCCAGCCTGCAGCAGAGCTGAGGAGCAGCTACAGAGGTCTGGTCAGCTCACTTCTTTCTAACTCCACACCAACAGATTAATTTAATTATCAAACTTGTAGTCTTCAGACCCAACCAGGACTGACTCAAGTGACATCACTTGAGGACATTTCACACAGCTCCCTCTGGAGGGTTTATACTACTTCTTCACATGTAAACAAACGTTGACTTTAAAATCAGGGGAGTTGCCCTTTAATGTCAATTTTAATAAGATTTTAGTTGTATAAATCCTAACAGAAGTTATCTCAGGACACTTTTTATATAGAAAAGGTATATTCCTTATTTATGGAGACTGAACAGTTCCCACCAGGAGCAAGCACTTGGTGGCAGTGGCAAGGAAAAACGTCCTTTTAAGAGGCAGAACCCGGCTCTATGTGGGCGTCCCTTAAAATAACTCCCTCATTTACTCACTCACAACTCTCTACATACGGACACTCACAAGTTCACTCGATGGTAAGTTATCGGAGAGATCAGACACCTAAAAACCAGCGTCATTGTGTATCACTGATTGGAACAGTTTTGTGCAACTGCATCTATAAAATCTGATGAATTGTGGGATTGTTAGCAAGATGCACTTTTTGTTCCATTGTTGGAATTTACATTACACTACATGGTGACTAAATGTCACACTCAAATGAAATGACAAAGGGTAATTCCAGGGCACTTTGTAGTCATTTTAGTAAGGAAGTTATTGTCGCCCGTTTGTGCCAGAAAAAAAACAACAACCTTAAAATCATTACTTTAGTGATCCCACTGATAGTAAGAGGTTTTCCATTTGTGCTGCAGAAAAAAAATTTCCTCAGGCTCAAACTGGGGGACTCGGACATTTGCAGCAGTGTTGTGTTTGTACCTTTGCAGTCCTGTCCTGTGGTGCTGATGTGCATCCTCTTCTGACACTCTCCACAGCTCATCAGGAAACGAGTCACCGCCTCTCTGGGCAGGAAAGCGTACGTCTCCGCTATCTGAGAGAGAAAGAGACACCGACAGAAAGAGGGAGAGAGAGAGCGAAAGGGAGGGAGGGGGGTGTTCAAACTGTTTTTCTAGTTTCTGAAAGCACTGAAGAAAAAGAAAGAACGTCTGGGTTGTATAATGGTGGTACCTGGACATATTTCACTTTCACTATTAAATCTTCATACAATATTGAAATATTTCATTTGATTTAGAGTATGCAGCGATAAGGTGGTGAAAGTGCATATCCATTATTAAACAGCTGGTTAATAAAGGGCCAAATTATTCAAATTCTACAGACAATGGACATGACAAACACACACACACATCACAGCGCTGGTCACTAGGAATTCACTGTATGCTTTTTTTATGTGGTGCCAAAACTGTATGATTATCTGTGAGAGTTATTGTTTGTGTCTTGCTCATACTTTGAACAGTGCATTGTGTTATGTTGCCTTGAGGTTTTGTAAATGCTCCTTTATAGGTGGTCATTCTTTACATTTAGCAGAATGACTTTTTAACAACCTTGTGCAGCACGAGCATCATATTAAGTGAGAGCGAGAAAGGCACGTTGTAATTTAATCTTGAGTACTACAAACAAAAACAACTTCAGTCTAAATGTATTGTTTAAAGTTAGTTATTGAACCACTGAAACGTTTTCTGTTAAACAACAATTTATCATTCACGTCATGCTGTCTACATTTCATTAAATATAAAAAATGGCCCAGAATGGTGAGATAGGCCCTCATTACCAGTTTCAAATTGACTCAAAGCTTTTAAGAGGGATTTTTTTTAAAGAATTACTGCACTCAGTGACGCTGAGGATATGAGTCTAATCGTGGGTGTGTTTGAATGTGCGTATGCAAAAATCAAACATTTATTCTGGAAGAGGGGCACAAACACACAAAAGAAGAGAGGAGGAAGGGTGGAAAATAGCCAATGTGGATGGATGGGGGTTGCTCTGTGTGTGTGCGTGTGTGTGTGTGTGTGTGTGTGTGTGTGAGTGACTGACAGAAAGAGTGTGCATGTGTAGGAAAGAGGGGGTAAAGCAAAGGCAAATGTCACTCACAGCCTTTGGTGGCACTCAGACCTGCAGCTATGTGGCATATATATATATACACACA